TTCTGCCAACTGTTACAGTGTAGGAAGCAGTCAGGATCATGGAACGTAAAAGATATCGATATGGTCCATGAAGCCAATGAGAATAAAATGACTTTGCCTGTGACTTTCCCATCTTGACAGTACAATTACAACTTGCCCTCCGATCGTTTTGGTTTTTTTGCCATCTTGCTCTCCCATGTTGGATGAGTAAATCATAAATGAGAAAAAAAAATCTCGCTATATGTATCTGTTATTTACATGCCGGTTTGGAAAAGACATTGTTTAATTCAATCAAGGCAGAACCATGAAGTTTCCCGGTCTTGGTGGCAAACAAGAGAACGTGACCAATTTAGCTGACCAACTTACACGAGTTCTGTGAGCTTTCTAACATTGGAAGGCAGAGGAAACGTCCCAGCCCATGGAAATATCCTAGCCAGTCTTGGAGATCTCACAGGGTTAGGAAGAAATCCCCAAAAGGGGGTTGCATTCAGCAGTGTAACACCCTTGACCAAGTGTGGGTTGCTTGCTGCAAAGTATAGTGCGACAAATCCTCCAAGTGAATTCCCGACAACATAAACCGGTTCCCCAATTACCTGAACAAAAACAGATAATTTGAAATTCAATCATTGAGTTCTGATCCATTCAGTTCCATGACCAAACACGAGTTAATTATGCTCAAAAGCAGAATATACATTAGAACTTTACAGCTCCATAAATTTTGCATATAGTAGTATATGTGCCATGGAATACTTCTGGAGGATAAACTAAGTAAAGACAAAATTAATTAAGGTACCTCTTCCACGAAGTATTGAACTTGATCCCGCCATAAGTCAATTGAGTAAACCAGCTGACTTGCCCACGGCTCCGTTTCCTCCCCAAATCCCCACACAATCTCCTTCCCTTCTGGGTCATTTTCACCCTGATACTGAGGTGCAGGATCTTCAAATGGTAATGACCTGCCCTGCCCGAGAAAATCCAATGCCCATACTCTATAATCGCGACCTAAATCCTTTAATTGCTTCTCATAATGAAATGAACCAACCCCGAAACCAGGAAGAAACAACACCGGCTGAGACCCCACGTTTTCACACCCCGCTTTCTCATAGTGCACAGTTAGCTTTGGCTTCCACTCCCAAAAACAGCTGCTTAAAGGAGCCCCGCATTCACTATTGGATTCATCAGGCAGACCCGGAATCAAAACGTTGGCCTCGGATTCCCCTTCTTCAGAAATACTCCTCGCGTCCTCTTCCCCACCAATCACATACCCGTTATGACTTCCGCTGAAGACCTTCAAGTCTGCATTCGTGGAACTTTGGAGGGCTTTCGAAGATTTAACAATACTATTGGTCCCGGAATGGTTTGGGCCAAGATGACTCTGTGCAGACAGACTTGCACACTGAACTCTTTTATGGATCCTGACCAGCAAAACTCTACTTCTTTTACCACCCAAAAGCTTAGCCTGCCTAGAGTTCAGATCCTTACTGTTCGAATTCCATCTCGTGTCCGCAACACGGCAGCATGGTGCAAAATTGTGTGAGAGAATTTCCATATCCAGAATCTATGTACTGTGGATAAATAAATGGATCAATTCTCCCTGTGGGTGTGATCCTCAAAGCTAAACAAGAATTTCTACTGAAACAATAAATAAGAGAAGGAAAGAAACTCGTTGAATAGTTTGCTAAGTGGAAGTTTTGATTTGTGAACACCAGAAATCTACAAATCTTTACTCTCTTTTCTCATTCATCATACGCCAGGCAATTCAAAAGGGATTTAAGTAGAGGAAAACAAGTGATAAATGAATGAACTTCCCCAATCATGATATAGAGCAGCTTTCGAAGATCACAGCATACAGACCCATAAGAAAGAAAAAGAAGTTACAGCTTATTCAAATCCAAAACAAGAACCAGAACTAACTCGAAACTGCAAGGCGAGGGACTGAGAGTGAGAGCGGCTTTACCCTCAATTTGCAGAAGGAAGAGTCATGAGAGCAAGAACTTCAATCTGTCTCCTCCAAATTATTGGTAGGGTTCGAGCAAAGCGTAGAGAAAGGGAGATGTTAGGTTGCTTGAAAGCTTCTTCCTCCTCTAAAACAGCTTTTTCTTTGTTTTGTTTTTTTCTCCATACATCTATGTTTTTGGTTTTCACGTGATCGATATCGAACATCAAAATCTTCTTGAAAAAAAAACCGTATTTTCGTATTTCTTGATTAGCTGAAATTAATTTAATTCAAACAAAATTTTTTCCGTGTTTGAATTATCTATCATTTTCAAGGATTAACCGTCTAGATTCAAATATACCCATCGAGGCTATTTAAGAGTTTCATCCCTCCATGTCTAGTTCTTATTCCGTCCAATTTTGAAGTCCTCTCAAGAATTGACTAGAGATAGCTCTAGTGAGGTGCCACCTTATCCCACCAAAAGAAAAATCTAGATATACAGAACTAATTTTCTGCAACTTTTTCCTTTTTCTGCTTCATCTGTCATCATTCACTTTGTCTCAAGCGAGCCTTATGTTTGGCTGAAACTCATTAGTCCAGCAAGCAAACATAGGCTGACCATCTGCATGGTGAAAATGCATATGGTCGTGTATTGCATGCATGCATGCAGACTAAAACAGCACCGGAGCCGGTGGGGATTCTTGACCTCAAGCAAGTTTTAGGGAGGCTTTTCTTCTCGGAGAAGAACTTTTATGCTTGGTAGATTGCATTATTCCACACGCCATGTGCACAAATATCTCGAAATGACATCGATGGCTTGAGTTTTCTTTGACTTTGCCACAGAGAATTCGGCAGAAAAATCGATTTGGTTGAAGTAATATTCCCATCAATGAATCATTCACGTTAGGTAGCAATAGAGGGAGGTCTTGGCAGTTTTATTTGAAATGAATGGCTGCTAATTACTAATCACCTAAAGATGTTTAAGTTGTATATGCTACAAAGCTCTTCAAGTTTAACCTGCGTAATTGTATCTATGACCTTGCTTGAACTCAACAAAATTTCCATGCTAACTGCAGCCTCAACTCTTATCACAAATTTGATGATTGGAAGAGGTTTAATGGGAATTATTATTATTATTATTTGCTTATTGAGGTTCATGAGCATTGAACTCTCACTTTTATCAATTAATAACTTGTAAGCTGTGATATAGCCTAAGTCTTTCTTGAATCATGCATGATTAAGGACGGTATATGGACCTGAGGTGTGATTTCTTTGGTATATAGAGGGTCAACTATGACAGATAACACACAAGTTGGTTTTGTGCCTAAATATGATTAATTAACACCAAATATTTACAAACACTGTGAACATCATATTCGATAAAGTAGCCTCCTCCTTTTATGAGTTGACTTTGATAATTCTTGCCTATGGTACCCTTGAGATTTTTATTAGACTTTGATTATTCCTAAAGTTTAATATTGTAAAACAAAGAATAAACAGCAAGGTCTTATTGAGCTGTAAGACCTTGGGCTAAATTAATCCGCCATTGACATCCCTAGGATTTTTGAAACTACAAGTCTGCACCCTCACCGCTGCAAAATTGCACATCTATTCACAGTATTGTCAAATTTCTATCCAAAAGCACCTTTACCCATAGTTTTCCATTTCCCAACATACATATCCTGACCTACCAAACCCAACAGCAAACCCCCTAACTTAGGCATCACGTACACTCCGTCATTGCTGCCTCCGACCACTCACCCCCACTCCACCGCCGTGAGCCACCAGCCGCTGGAGCCTCCAATCACTCGTTGTCGACTCCACCACCACGGCCAAGGGGCTGCTGCCTGCCCAAGCAAACTGGTTGACAACACCGGTGGCATTGACGGCACCGCCAGCGGTGGGGCCGCGTGGTAGAGTCTGGTGACAAACTTGAATAGGTACTTCAAGGGAGTTGCTGGGGATGATTTCAGGCCACTCTTTTTTTAGGGCTTTACATAAGGAGGGTACTTAAGTAATTTCAATGGAGATAAAAGTGCAAATCTGAATTTTTGGAAATAGATGTTAGCATTTGATATTCGGGCGAAAACCCAAGTATGTTTTTGGTATTCTTCAAAATTAACTAAAAAGATAGAAATAATATTCAGCTCTCAATATGTTGGATAATTTAAGCCTCCCACGACCGGAAGAACTAAGATTACACATAAGAGCGACGTATTCACACATGTCATCATCATATATTTCTGAATTTAAAGGGTCAATCTTCAAATATTTCAGATTTATAGTGACTCATTGGCTAACAACATGTATTGTTTATGTGGATTTGGAGGCCTTTCGCTTTTGTTTTTGCTTCAAATTCCTCAAATCTTCAAAGATACAGTACTGCCATATAAACTCATTTTTTAAATTGATGGTTGAAAAATGAACATACAATTTTGCTCATTAGGATAAGGACATAAATTATCCATGAACTTTGGCTCAATGTGCAATTTGGTCCCTAAACTTTAATTTGTTCAATGTGATCCCTGAATTTTAGTCCAATGTACAATATCGTTCCTGAACTTTTAATTTGTTTAATATGATTTCTGAACTTTTAGTATATATTAAATTGTCCCTAGACTGTTTGAAAATATTCAATATTGTCATTCTATTAATTCAAGTTTACGAACGACATTGAACATTTTCATACAATTCATGGACTAGATTAAGCATTTTCCAAAAGTTCAAGGACCACATTGAATAAATTAAAAGTTTAGGGACGACATTGCACGTTGGGCTAAAATTCATGGACCACGTTGAACAAATTTAAAATTCATGCAACATATTGCACATTGAGTCAAAGTTTATGAACCATTTATATCATTTACCCTTGTTTTTTTCAAAGCTAAAATAATTTTTACTTCGTAAATGTAAGATTTTGTTTTGGTTTGGCTGATCCCAATGTAAGCACCAAGTATGCGGTCGCTTTTGTTTTGGGCCTCAAACTCAAAGGATAAAAATCATAAATTAAAAAAATAAAAAGAAAAGAAAAGGACGCTTATTAATAAATTAATCTCCTCCTAATAGTCAAAGCCTGAGGTGGCGAATGGTTGAAGCATCACACTCAGAGAAAAAATCTTCCTTTTTTTCCCATAAATCTCGAATCTTGATCCTATTCAATCCAAACAAAACTGGCGTTTCTGGCTTTTGATAGAGATTCTGTGTAAAGGCGGTCCTTTTCTCCGTGTCCAGTCATTTTGCACCCACTTGACGAAGCTCGGATTCTTCTCTGCAGTTACTAGGTACTTCGGATAAAACTCTGTTTCCATCTGTCGAATTATCTGAGTTCTGGGGGTTCTTTCCCTGATTGGGGTCGCACAAGGTCGACCCTTTCTTGATATATACGATTTGATTGGCCTTGAATAATAATGGGCAATCGTTAGATTACGTTCTGTTTCTGTCTTTCTGGTCCTCTGCATATATTCTTGGGCTGTAATGGCTATGGCTGTAAGATGTTCTGCTTTTTAGCAGGAATTGTTGAGGGTCTATTCAGTTCAGTTCTTTGGAGGGTCAGGATTTCTCAAAGCCTAGATACACTGCAGTTGTAGACAATCTCCTCTTGAAGCATTTTAAAGGGTGGACATGGATGATGGGGAGGTGGAGGTTTCGGATCATGTCCCGTTACCGAATGCCGACTCTTCGAGCAATCTCCAGAGCTCAGCCTCTGTGGACTCTTTCTTTGGTGAGTTCTTGAAAAATACTAGGTCTTGCACTCACACCCACACTTGCAATCCTCCTGGTCCAGACGCTGCTCATACTCACACATGCTACCATACCCACACCCAAATGTTCTCGTCCGAAGAGGATGAAAAGCGCAATGGGAAAAAGCAATTCTCGAAGGTGAAAAGGCCTGCAAGTAATAGAGAGGCAGTGAGGAAGTATAGGGAGAAAAAGAAGGCTCACACAGCTTACTTAGAGGAGGAAGTCCAGAAATTGCAAATGTTGAATCAGCAATTGGTTAGAAAATTGCAGGGTCAGGCATTACTTGAAGCTGAGGTCACAAGGCTTAGAAGCCTTTTGGTAGACCTCAGAGGTAAAATTGAAAATGAGTTAGGTGCTATCCCCTTTCAGAAGCCTTGCAATTTTACTTCTATCAAGGAAGGTGACTGTGGGGTCCAGTCTGGCAGCGGGCTGGTCAGGTTGCAGTGTTCGACTGATTTACCGTGCTTTCGTCCTCACACGGGCTCGACCTCTCTGGCTGGTGTTGGCAGGAGCAATGATATTATGGTCTTGCGGGCCGGAGAAAACTGCCAGCCAGCAATTGGGGATTGTCAGGTCAAGGCAAATGTTGGCATGAATTCTGATGGACACAATTTGAACACGGTTGAAAAAATCGCGTCAACTGCTTCTCAAGTCGAACAATAGCAGGTCTTGTGTAAGTTTTCCCAAATTTTGCCGACCTTGATGTATGCTTTACTCTCTTGCGTAGCCTAAGCGTAGTAGCTCCTTAGTTCGGATCAGGGGGTAGCCCAATAACAGTTTGCTTGTAATGTTAGTCAGCAGTGCGAAATGACTCTGTAAATACATGTACACACATAGGTAAATACACACCAAATCAGGCATGACCATGTAATGTAATGACAAATAGTTTATTTTGATCTTGTTGAACGGATTGTGAACTAAATCTTGTGGATGTTGTTTCTCTTCTTCGATAGCTACACAACCTTCAATAGCAGTTTGCTTGTAATGTTAGTCAGCAGTGCGAAATGACTCTGTAAATACATGTACACACGGGTAAATACATACCAAATCAGGCATGACCATGTAATGTAATGACAAAATAGTTTATTTTGATCTTGTTGAACAGATTGTACACTAGATCTCATGGATGTTGTTTCTCTGGTTCGATAGATACACAACCTTCAAGTAGAAGCTCTAGTATTTTTATCTGTGGAGAGGGTGATTTCTTTACTGAACATTCCATGATTTACTGGGAGGTTGTCCCCTATGCCGTTTGTGATCTGTTTCAGTGTCTAAATCCTTATGGACCCGAGCTGCTGTACTGTACTGCTATTTCTGATGACTGATGAAGAAGGCCGAACTTGCAAAGTTCTAATTTAACTGATAGCAGGACAGTTGCTCTCGCCATATCACAGAGTTAATGATGAAGTGGAAATGGAGGGTTTGCTCGTTATTGTAGTGTAGATGCTGGCTTATGTTTTTGTAAGAAACTGGGAGTTTGCTGGAAGTTGAAGCTAGTTAGGTATGATCAGTACCGGAAAGGGTGCTCTGTTTCAGCTTGTTCTAGGCTAATGGGTGGCTGTCGAGCAAAGAGGCAGTGCCGAGATATCGATAGCTAAGCTAGGAATGCTTCTGATCATGGTCTGCTATCAGATGAGATGCTTCAAGGTGATCAAGAGGAATTTTGACTTGTGAGTGAGATCAGAACTTGATGCTCAGTCCAGGTTGTCTTTGCTTGCAACTTATCACTTCTTCGCAATGGAGTATTTGCTGTACTATTAAGATTGTCCATACTCTCGTTTGGTTCAACCTGTACCTCATTCGGTTTCAACTCAGGTTTTCAAACTTTCACAGCTTTAAGCAAAGCAAAGCCACAAAAAGTGACTTGTGGGCCAATTGTAGGGATGAATTGTCATTGAAATCTTGTGATCATAGCTGTCCGGCTTGACCAAAAAATGGGCCTCTTTTAGTCGGGCCTTTCGCGCGAAATGCATTGTGTGGGCCGTAAATCATGTCAAAAACAGCAACACAAACGAATTTGTCACATGACAATCAACAAAGAAGAGTGCCAACCCTCCTCACGCTCAAGAACATACTGTTGTGCCAAACAACAGGCTGAAAAATCAAATGTGAAGCACATTTCTCATCAGCGCTGAAGAACGTACTGTCCAAGAAATGGAACATGGGAGGAAACTACACCTTTAACTCTTACATGGGCCGAATCGAACTGGCAATACCTGTCTGGCGGGCTCGGGTCCAATGCAGATCCAATGGGCCATCGTGCGCTGCATAGGCTCTTGTTGGCCCATCTACATTCGAACGATATAATTACGCATATAATAATCTAATTATCCTGTCTTAAGTCAAGATTCTGATTCTTGATACACATTTCTAATGATCAGTTGCACATATGATATTTGAGAAAATAGTTGAGATGGGGGAAGTGCATGCATGAGAGGAGTACGGATGCGATAAATTGGTGAGAGAGAGAGAGAGAGAGAGAGAGAGAGGGTAGCATTTGACATTGACTACAACACATGGGTTTTTATTTCTAGTCCGGCAAGATCTTGTCGGATCTGATATGTATGTCCCTTTCCCATCGTCACGCATAAAAACAAGAACCCCCCTGTTAATTTGACTTTAATAACAACACTGATAATTGGAAAAATAGCCTGTCCAATCCCAAATTAAAAAAAAAATGATATAAACAGTTTCTGAATTTTGATCTAATGTATAATTTAGTCTATGAACTTTTAATTTATTCAATATAGTTCCTGAACTTTAACTCAATATACAATGTAATCACTGAACTTGTAATTTGTTTAATGTCAACCTTAAACTTTAAGTGCATGTTTATTGAATATTTTCATATAGTTCAGGAACTATATTGAACATACACCGAAGGTCCGATAGCCACATTGAACAAATTAAAAGTTCAGAGACCACATTAAACATTAAGCTAAAGTTCAGAAATTGTATTAAATAAATTAAAAATTCATATATCAAATTTTATTTTAGATCAAAATTTAAGAATTATTTGTGCCATTATCCTTTTAAAAAATTGCAAGTAAGGAGACAAAAACAATTATAATTCGGACAGTGCATGGTCACATCCACGAAAGCCACAACTCTTGTCCTGCTGCCCGTCTGCCTCAGTCGTGCGCTGGACCCATTCGACTCAGTTCTTGCCCACTGCCACAGCACTTACTATTATTAGGGTTTTCTTTCATAGTACATGCTGCTGTGACCAGAGTCCACATGGGTATTTTTCCCTTCTTTTTTTTTCTCTATTTATTTTGGTCAACAATCCCTCTTTTACATAATAATTGTGGAAAATATTACATTTTATAACAGAACATGTGAAGAATCCGAATTTTCCAACATATGAATAAGAGAAATTAGAGGGCGGTGATTTAACATGCACATTATTTATTATCATTGAGAGAAAGAGAGGCACATAATTTTTCACCGCCCTATCTCCCCTTTTAATAAGCACCAAAGTTTGCAGAAAGAAAATTAAAAGAAAAAAAGATAGATTAGGATAAATTTTCGTGTTGTCATGAACAAAATCCATAACACCCGTATGCTTAATCGACATCGAAATTCCAAATCACGGGTGAATTTTTAATGCTAGAGATAATGAATCACGTGTCATTCAAAATTTAAAGAACCGAAACCCACAAAATATGTCCAACTTCCAAATTCTCATACGTTATTCAAGTCTAGCGGATAATGAAAATTATCCCCACCTTTTATTAGATGAAAACGGAAGGAATATGATCTAGGAGAGGCAAGGTCGAAAAATGGTCCGAGATTTTCTTTTTCTTTTTGTGGTCGAAAATGGTCCAAGATTGAGAAGCAGGTGTTTGGTGTTCATTGTAGGAGACAGTAGGGTAGACACTGTCCATATACAAGTGCTGAAAGTAAATCCAACACCAGTTGAAAGAGACTATTCGTTAATTATATCATTATGCATCGATCATCGTCACATTTAACGAGTGCCCTACAATAAAAATGTCTAGCAACAAAAAGTTCTAGTCTTCATAACACCGATCAGGCAAAAAGAAAAGGTAAACATTAGTTTCTGTTCTATTGGTTGCTTACCCAAGTGTATTCGCAAAGCCCGTTAATTAATCGATCAATTGATAATATGTAATTTAATTATTTATTTGTTTATTTGGAGTTTGGTCCAAAGAAAGGGACATGATATATAGGGTCCACCGCATGCAGCCAGTTACATCACATTTAGGTGCCGCATCTACCCTTTTTCTAGGAGTGGTTGCTCAATTATATCCCTCTCTGTCTCTCTCTCCATCTTTATCTTTTTATCCACCATGATTGCTTCCATGTTTTTTCCTTCCTTTTTCCTTTCTTCACTCTTTTAAAGACAAGGACTTGAAACTATGGGTGCCCCTAGGATCGAAAAAATTGAAGGACTTTTCACATTTATACTTGACAAAATGAAAGTAGGATTACTCTTGTAGAGCCAATTTCATTTAAAGATTTAAGGGTTCACGATAATTGACAGTGATTTAATTAGAAACCTGTACGGTGAATAAGATTTTCTAAATTCAAATCTTTTTTGCACTCTCCATCTATTCCAATTATTAGTAATTTTTATGCTTTTAGCCTCTATTTGAGGAGGAGTGACGAGAGCGTTGAAATGTTTAAATACTAAATGACTTCTTCATACAACAGTTTAAAATTTTTTTAGAATTATTAATAGTAATCCATAAAATTATAATAGCTTAGACTTTCAAAATTGTTAGTACTAATCTTACAAAATTTTACACCTACCATCTTCGATCATAAGTGGTTATATTTGTAATGCAGACAAATTTTTATTTTTTTTTTAAGGATGTGTTGCTTGAACTTATCACTCTTTGCTTTCTCGCTTACCTAAAATGTTATGCTAGCCTTTTGCTAAACATAGAAAAAATTCTTGTGCTTGCTGTGCTATCAATATTCATATAGTATTTTCTGAAGTGACCGGCATTAAATAATATTCGAATCTCGAATTATACATGAACCATGTTGAATCTTGACTTATATATGGACTTATGGTCTGAAAGCAGAAAGAGGCAATTGTCCAAAAAGTCTTAAATCCGTTGTACAACAGTCAATTCAGTTCTAAACTTTTTAAGCAAGTCAATTTAGTCCTAAACCTTTTGACGATTTACCAATCTAGTCTTTTCGATCAATTTTGGTCAGAAATTGCTGACGTGAACGCTAACCATCCTACGTGACACGGCCGGTGTTAACATGAACGGCTTTTTTAAAAAAAAATTCTGAATTATTCTTTTTTCTTCTTTTCCTATGTCCCTCCAACGATTTACCAATGTAGTATTTCCGGCCAATGTTGGTCAGAAATTGCTAACGTTGACACAACCGTCCTACGCGACATGGCTAGTGCTAACATGAACGATTGTTTAAATTTATTTTTGAAATTTTTTTGAACTTTTCAAAAAATTTCTTCTTTTCCTATGTCCTTCTAATGCCTTCAGCTATGGCTAGAGATCGGCGGAGGGAAATAGACGGCCAATTTGGTCTATATTGGCAAATCGTTAAAATATTTAGAACTAAATTGGTTAAATTGAAAAGCTTATGATTAATTTGATCATCGTACAATAAATTTAGGACTTTTTGAATAATTCTCTCGAAGCAGGAGTCATCGAAACACACCTCGACTTTTATCCAAGTTGTTGATAACCGGGCCTCCATATTACTCAGGGCAAAGGGGGAAAGGGGAGGAAATGGATCATTTTTGGAGATTTACTAGATTATTTTACCATAATGGAGACAACAAATGACATTAGCATAATCCATAAACATTTGCAAAAGAAGCCCCACTTATAACACGTCGCACGGGCGTAATTAACTCATAATGACGTATCATCGCTTGCATTTGATTGATTTCCCTAAAGGACTATCAGTTGATTTGAAAATAAGAGCAATAAAATGGAAATGAAGTGTTCATTCCATTTTCTTATGACGTTATGATTAGGAATAAGAAGGGATTGGAATAAGGTGCTGCATGAAAACCATTCTGGTTCTGTCCAGAACTGGTTTTTTGTTCCCAGAATCAGTTTTGGACCAGAAACCCGTTTGGTAACGCAATTTCATTTTTCTATTTCCGGACAAGTTTTCTTCCAAAATCGATTAAAAACCAGAAATGAGAACCAAAAAAAAGTTGGTTTTTCATTTCTGGAACAAAAGTGAGAACCATTTCTGAGGAATTCATTTTCTTCAACACACATATTCATATGGAAGTCACGATATTTGAGATGAGAAAAAAAAGCAAAAATCAAAAATTTCAAAACTTAACGAATGGTTTAGAATCAGTAGCTACCACTTTCAAAAATTTAAATTTTTTAGGTACGAAAAAATAAATAAAAATAAATAAAAATAAAAAATTTCAAAATTTCACAAAATGGCTTAGAAAACCTATGGCCACCCACTTTGAGCAAAATTTAATTTTTTTAGTTGCCAAAAAAAATAAAAAATAATAAAAAATTCTAAAATTTAAAAACTTCACAAAATATCTTAGAATATCTGTGGCCACCCAATTTGAGCGAAATTTTATTTTTTTAGGTGCCGAAAAAAATAAAAAAAAGCAAAAAATCAAAAATTTCAAAACTTCACAGAATGGCTTAGAATACTTGTGGCCATCCACTTTGAATGAAATTTAAATTTTTTAGTTGCGAAAAAAAAAAAAAAAAAAAAAATTCAAAACTTCACGAATAGCTTAAAATACCGCGCACCCACTTTGAATGAAATTTTAATTTTTTA